ATCGAGCAGGGGGTTGGACTTGATGGCCTTATAAACCCCTTCCAACTTTACTATTCTGTGATTCTCTTTGACTATGGGATATGACCCAGTACTTCTTTACACTTACTGACTCCAGTTTTCTAAAGCACAGCATGCACATTATGCCACTCTCAACTTTCCTTTTCCTCGATGTAGTGGTCAAAATCCTGATACTTAATGTAGTAAATCACACTAGAGTAGGATCATTGAATCAATGGGAATTTAGTGAGACAAGTCCTATGTAAGTTCCACTGATTCAAAAGTAGGTCCACATAAATCAATGGAACTTATGGAGCAGTTGTCTCACTAAATCTCAATTGATTCAATGGACCTACTCTTATATGATCCACTATCTAAGCAATAGGATTTTGGCCAATGAATCCCAAGAGAGTGTGGTCACATATACACAAAATTCCCACTATTTTCATCTTATTCATCCTTTATTCCCTGTTGGTGAGGCCCAGTATAGCTGATCTTCTCGTCACTTTTTCCACCTTTTGGAGATGAAGTTGTCAGCAGGGCAAGAGAGAAAATTGTTAGACCTTACTGTATGTTCTTGGAACAGATGGATTTCCAATGGATATCAAGGTAGCTGAAGTCTTCTGTTACTACTATATCTCTCTTATTTACCAAATATTCAAGCTCATCTAGGAGGATATCATCTAGGTCTTCAATCTGGCTAGAAGGTCTGTATCCTACAGGTATGTGACTGTAACTAGTCTAGGAAAAGAAAGGCCTTATGTGAACCCTTGGAATCCTTGTTGGTCTCTCAAGAAGTACTCTATCTACAGAACGAATAAGATATAAATGTACTCTCCTAGCTCACATAACTTAATACATCTATCCACTTCACACTATGGTATTAAGGGCACTTTCACTGTAAAGTCCTATTCATTTAACTGTAAGAAGGAGAGAGAAGAGAAGCACTTGCAAAACAAGATTCCCCTCACTGTTAAACACACAACCTATGTTCATTACAAAACAGGTTAAAAAGGAGGGGGATTCTATTAGTCTGAAACAATTGTCTACGTTTTTCTTCTTTTTCCTCTTGTATTCTCAAATAAATATTAGGTACTACATCTGAACACAACAGTTTTCAAAACCAATGCTAAACTAGAAGACTAAATTATTACAAAATATGAATAGGTGTAATATGAGTATATAGACAGAAAATTTGTAGCTATATCTGCAGTAATGCAAACCTGGAAAAACCAAAGAACTTGTTAGTGAATGAGAAATCACTGTCCAACCTCTCTTTTCTTTAAGAAATATATTATTAAACAGCACACAAACACATTCAAAACACAGAGAAGCTAAGTAGGAAAGAGTGACACAGTGAGCTGTCAGATTCATTTGATCGCTCTACCAACATTCATAGGTAGGCAGAAAGAGTAGAAAATGTCTCAGCCCCTAAGACTGCTCACTTGCAAAGCACTACAGTGAACTAACTCACCAGAACAACAGTCAAGTCAATTCTATTTACCCTTTACTACAAAGTGTATATCCACATTCACTCACCAAACACTGCCACTTTGTGTTCACCCCAATCACTTCAGCTTTCGCAAGAAAATGTTTTTTCACCTTTTCAGTTCCTTTTTGCAAAAGCTGCTCCTCTGCTTGAAATAAAATGGTCTAAATCCAGCTGCCAGTCAAACAGACTCACTGAATCAATAGGAGAGAGATTACGTCAACAGTTGTCTAAATCCCTCTGTTTCAACAGGTTTACTGTAATTTGAGACTAGCAAATGGATTAAGGCTAGTGACGATATCTTTTTCATCCAGATGCAAAGACAAGTAACCCTAATAAAGTGCCATCAGAACGTGAGTCTGTAACAGTTCATGCAGCAAGCTCATTTTCTACAACCCAGTGTACAACCACAGACAGGACATTATAGCAGAAGCATACAAACTGCTACATTCATGTGGATGCGTCCAGGGTCCAGCTTCTATCCCAGAGCATACTACAAAATCTGTTATCTACAGCCAAAGCCCTATAATACCACTAAGCTTGTTCAGAGCTCCCAAACTGGAATGTGAGGACCTAAAGCAGGGTCTTCTCAGACTACAATAGTCACCCTGTTAAGGGGGGGGGTACATTGCCAAATTAGTACCCAGAAACAGTTCACTACGGAACACAGCCCAAACAGATAACAGAAGAACATCAGTTGCCACCTACAGTTCCCAGCTAAAATTATTTAAATGCATCTTGTGCGATCTATAAACCATTCTGAACAATACTCTATCATAGCCCATGGGTGATAGGCCTATATTTCCTTAGGCAGTAGTCCAGTTTAAATACTTATAATCAACAACAGAACTACAGACACAGGACCTAAAAGTATTAATTCAAGAGTTATTAATATCATAAATAACATCAGGGTTTCATACTCCTGCTCATCATCCAATGGGATACATACTACTATTTGTCAGCAATGTTTCACTGCATTTTATGCAAAACAAGAAACACATTTCTTTTCACGGGTGCTAAAATCAGTCAAGTTACAGCAGTTTCCTGCATTCAACATAGTGCATATCAGTTTATCAACTTTGACAAAATTGACAATTTTCTAAAATTACAAATGAATGGTTCAAGTATTCAAAGCCACCAACAATGCAAAATACACTGAATCATAAACTTTATAATAAAAGGAAATCAGAAGCAACATTTTAAGTGTAAATTTGGGGGGGATTTTTATTTCAAACTGAAATAATTCTAACAGTAACTTTCAGAGAGCAAAAAAGTTTGGAGAGAACAGGAAATGAAAAGTGCACCTAATCAAACTGGTTTCATTGCTGAAACAAGTAACAGCATCAAAAAGTAAATTAAAATCCACAATTTTAAAATACAAATATTCGATAAAATATTTATTAAAAAAACCACGCACCATTATTTTCATTTTTTAAAACCTTCATTATCTTGCACTGCACTGGTAATGTAATTATTCAATACGCTTATGCACAATACACTTATGCAGTTAATTACTAGTTACTAATTACTAGTTTTGATGCTTTTAAATTAAATACATCAAATAAGAAGTATACATTGAAACAGTATTACCAGAACTTACTAGGATATCAAATATGTTAACTATCCGCTAGTTAAGTTAAATTACGGTATGTAGCAATAATAAAAATAATAATTACAGTGGGGTCTTGACTTGTGAACGGCTTGACTTGCGAACTTTTTGAGTTGCGTACCTCTCCGTCCGCAAAAATCCATTTTAACTTGCGGACGGAGACTTGAGGTACGTACCAAAAAGTTTAGAAAAAAAACCCGGGAAATTTGCAAGTCAAGACCCCACTGGTTGGTGGGCAGCCCGGACGCTCCTCGGCAGCCCCAGCTGGGGCTCCTGCCTCCTTGCTCCCGCGCTGGAACAGAGCTCGGCTGTGCTTGCCGCTGCCGCTCCTGCTCCCCGCCGCCGCCTTCTTCTGAGAGCCACCCTGCTGGACGGACGGCCGATCGCTGGGGAGGAGCCGGGAGTGAGGCAGGAGGTCGCCGCTCGGCCCACGCGAGGAACGGCGGCGATCCTGCTTGGCAAAGGGTGCCCGGGGGAGCCGGCCCTTGCCCTCCCAGGAGCGGCGAGGAAGGATCCCTGCAGCATCCGCCCAGCCCCCAGGGGCTTCTGGCTTCCGGTGCCTCCGCCGGCCGAGCTCTGTTCCGGCGGGGGAGCAAGGAGGCGGGAGTCCTGGCTGGGGCGGCCGAGGAGCGTCCGGGGTGCAGGGCCCGGGCGCGGGAGAGCACCGGCAGGCTCCACGCCATGCACAACCTGCCCTTGCGCCGAGGTCCAGGCTGCCCGCCAACCCGCCCTTTGCCCGCTTTCCTTCGGGGCTGCCGAGGGCCACGGGAGCGGGAGCGGCTCGGCTTCCCCGTTCGAGGGCGAATGCTCCCCGGTGCCTCCCCTTCTCCTCCCGCCAAGGCCGCTGCCACCGCCGGGACCTGTGGGCCACCG